CCCTGACAAGTCCACTCCCAAATATCTGAATACATTCACCTTCTCCATACTCTCTCCCTCCAATCTGATATTCAATCTTTCATCACCTAATCTTTTTGTTATCCTCATAACCTTACTCTTTCCTGTATTCACCTTTAATTTTCTTCTTTTGCACACCCTACCAAATTCATCCACCAATCTCTGCAACTTCTCTTCAGAATCTCCCAAGAGCACAGTGTCATCAGCAAAGAGCAGCTGTGACAACTCCCACTTTGTGTGTGATTCTTTATCTTTTAACTCCACGCCTCTTGTCAAGACCCTCGCATTTACTTCTCTTACAACCCCATCTATAAATATATTAAACAACCACGGTGACATCACACATCCTTGTCTAAGGCCTACTTTCACTGGGAAATAATTTCCCTCTTTCCTACATACTCTAACTTGAGCCTCACTATCCTCGTAAAAACTCTTCACTGCTTTCAGTAACCTACCTCCTACACCATACACTTGCAACATCTGCCACATTGCCCCCCTATCCACCCTGTCATACGCCTTTTCCAAATCCATAAATGCCACAAAGACCTCTTTAGCCTTATCTAAATACTGTTCACTTATATGTTTCACTGTAAACACCTGGTCCACACACCCCCTACCTTTCCTAAAGCCTCCTTGTTCATCTGCTATCCTATTCTCCGTCTTACTCTTAATTCTTTCAATAATAACTCTACCATACACTTTACCAGGTATACTCAGCAGACTTATCCCCCTATAATTTTTGCACTCTCTTTTATCCCCTTTGCCTTTATACAAAGGAACTATGCATGCTCTCTGCCAATCCCTAGGTACCTTACCCTCTTCCATACATTTATTAAATAATTGCACCAACCACTCCAAAACTATATCCCCACATGCTTTTAACATTTCTATCTTTATCCCATCAATCCCGGCTGCCTTACCCCCTTTCATTTTACCTACTGCCTCACGAACTTCCCCCACACTCACAACTGGCTCTTCCTCACTCCTACAAGATGTTATTCCTCCTGGCCCTATACACGAAATCACAGCTTCCCTATCTTCATCAACATTTAGCAATTCCTCAAAATATTCCCTCCATCTTCCCAATACCTCTAACTCTCCATTCGGGCGAGATATAAGCGACTATTGGCAGAAAGGTGGGCTAGTGCAAAGATGAGTAGTGGGGGGGTTGAAGAGGGTTGGAATACAGTGGACCCCCGGTTAACGATATTTTTTCACTCCAGAAGTATGTTCAGGTGCCAGTACTGACCGAATTTGTTCCCATAAGAAATATTGTGAAGTAGATTAGTCCATTTCAGACCCCCAAACATACACATACAAACGCACTTACATAAATACACTTACATAATTGGTCGCATTCGGAGGTAATCGTTATGCGGGGGTCCACTGTAGTTTTAAAAATGCAGTATTAGAATGTGGGGCAGAAGTTTGTGGTTATAGGAGGGTGGGGGCAGGAGGAAAGAGGAGTGATTGATGGAATGACGAAGTAAAGGGTGTGATAAAAGAGAAAAAGGTAGCTTACGAGAGGTTTTTACAAAGCAGAAGTGTTATAAGAAGAGCAGAGTATATGGAGAGTAAAAGAAAGGTGAAGAGAGTGGTGAGAGAGTGCAAAAGGAGAGGAGATGAAAGAGTGGGAGAGGCACTGTCAAGAAATTTTGATGAAAATAAGAAAAAATTTTGGAGTGAGTTAAACAAGTTAAGAAAGCCTAGGGAAAGTATGGATTTGTAAGTTAAAAACAGAGTAGGGGAGTTAGTAGATGGGGAGAGGGAGGTATTAGGTAGATGGCAAGAATATTTTGAGGAACTTTTAAATGTTGAGGAAGAAAGGGAGGCGGTAATTTCATGCACTGGCCAGGGAGGTATACCATCTTTTAGGAGTGAAGAAGAGCAGAATGTAAGTGTGGTGGAGGTACGTGAGGCATTACGTAGAATGAAAGGGGGTAAAGCAGCTGGAACTGATGGGATCATGACAGAAATGTTAAAAGCAGGGGGGGATATAGTGTTGGAGTGGTTGGTACTTTTGTTTAATAAATGTATGAAAGAGGGGAAGGTACCTAGGGATTGGCGGAGAGCATGTATAGTCCCTTTATATAAAGGGAAAGGGACAAAAGAGATTGTAAAAATTATAGAGGAATAAGTTTACTGAGTATACCAGGAAAAGTATACGGTAGGGTTATAATTGAAAGAATTAGAGGTAAGACAGAATGTAGAATTGGGGATGAGCAAGGAGGCTTCAGAGTGGGTAGGGGATGTGTAGATCAAGTGTTTACATTGAAGCATATATGTGAACAGTATTTAGATAAAGGTAGGGAAGTTTTTATTGCATTTATGGATTTAGAAAGGGTATATGATAGAGTGGATAGAGGAGCAATGTGGCAGATGTTGCAAGTTTATGGAATAGGTGGTAAGTTACTAAATGCTGTAAAGAGCTTTTATGAGGATAGTGAGGCTCAGGTTAGGGTGTGTAGAAGAGAGGGAGAATACTTCCTGGTAAAAGTAGGTCTTAAACAGGGATGTGTAATGTCACCATGGTTGTTTAATATATTTATAGATGGGGTTGTAAAAGAAGTAAATGCTAGGGTGTTCGGGAGAGGGGTGGGATTAAATTATGGGGAATCAAATTCAAAATGGGAATTGACACAGTTACTTTTTGCTGATGATACTGTGCTTATGGGAGATTCTAAAGAAAAATTGCAAAGGTTAGTGGATGAGTTTGAGAATGTGTGTAAAGGTAGAAAGTTGAAAGTGAACATAGAAAGGAGTAAGGTGATGAGGGTATCAAATGATTTAGATAAAGAAAAATTGGATATCAAATTGGGGAGGAGGAGTATGGAAGAAGTGAATGTTTTCAGATACTTGGGAGTTGACGTGTCGGCGGATGGATTTATGAAGGATGAGGTTAATCATAGAATTGATGAGGGAAAAAAGGTGAGTGGTGCGTTGAGGTATATGTGGAGTCAAAAAACGTTATCTATGGAGGCAAAGAAGGGAATGTATGAAAGTATAGTAGTACCAACACTCTTATATGGATGTGAAGCTTGGGTGGTAAATGCAGCAGCGAGGAGATGGTTGGAGGCAGTGGAGATGTCCTGTCTAAGGGCAATGTGTGGTGTAAATATTATGCAGAAAATTTGGAGTGTGGAAATTAGGAGAAGGTGTGGAGTTAATAAAAGCATTAGTCAGAGGGCAGAAGAGGGGTTGTTGAGGTGGTTTGTTCATTTAGAGAGAATGGATCAAAGTAGAATGACATGGAAAGCATATAAATCTATAGGGGAAGGAAGGAGGGGTAGGGGTCGTCCTCGAAAGGGTTGGAAAGAGGGGGTAAAGGAGGTTTTGTGGGCGAGGGGCTTGGACTTCCAGCAAGCGTGCATGAGCGTGTTAGATAGGAGTGAATGGAGACGAATGATACTTGGGACCTGACGATCTGTTGGAGTGTGAGCAGGGTAATATTTAGTGAAGGGATTCAGGGAAACCGTTATGTTCATATAGTCGGACTTGAGTCCTGGAAATGGGGAAATAAAAATGTCTGCACTTTAAAGGAGGGGTTTGGGATATTGGCAGTTTGGAGGGATATGTTGTGTATCTTTATACGTATATGCTTCTAAACTGTTGTATTCTGAGCACCTCTGCAAAAGTAGTGATAATGTATGAGTGTGGTGAAAGTGTTGAATGATGATGAAAGTATTTTCTTTTTGGGGATTTTCTTTCTTTTTTGGGTCACCCTGCCTCGGTGGGAGACGACCGACTTGTTGAAAAAAAAAAAAAAAATATTGATAATGGGTTGGGCGAATATTTTTTAGTGGGTTTAGGTTTGACAAGGACCTGCCAGGTATGGGCAGGTAGGCCTGCTGCAACATTCCTCCTTTCTTATGTTCTTAGTCACTGCATGCTGATCCTTTTTTTTCCTGTGCATTCTGTAATGGTTCTTCTTCTGTTACAGTACATCCTTTTCAGCTTTTGAGGCTTCATGTGAAAGATTATTTGAGCAGTTATCCTCTGAAACATTAACATATATCTTGTAGTAGCATTATAATTTGTGGGTGTTCTAGTGGTATTTTATTGCAGAAAATCAGGCAAATACATCTGCCATCCTACTTTCAACCTGCTCGACATACGACCACTCGTACTTACGACCGTACTGTTTACAGCTTACCTTAAATTATTTTGTTCTTTTCTGTTCATGCATATGAATGTTTTCCTATGTTTTCATTTATACGAATATTTTGTATGCAAATAAATAACTGTTTGTGTTGTTTGACTTGCATCCATTTTGACTTATGATTGGTTGGTTGCCACCAAGCTCAGTTTTAAGTCGGATGGTAGGTGTATTTACTAATAAAGTACCTGTAACAAGTTCATTACATGTGAGAGAGTTTTTTAATCATTGTTGATCATCTGATTTATTTGTTCCTCAACATATTCCAATTTTTTCACATTTTTTTAACTGTTTTGTCAGTGCACCTCTGGCAAGACAGCGAAGGAGTGATGATGAAAGTGTTTCTTCTTTTTTGGGTCACCTTGCCTTGGTGGGAAATGACAAATATGTTAATAAAAAAGTCAATACAGTTTCTTTTATTTACAACTATTGTCACTTGCTCCACAGTTGTTGAATTGAAAGAAAATAAAATATGTATTCACAGTTAAATTTAATGTAGGAATCCACATAAATATGAAATATTGAGGGTTAATTTTTACATTTTAATTAAAGAGTGTCTACTGTTTTTATTTGGGAAAGGGTGTATAGGTGTGGCTAGTTGTGACTGTCAGCCACCAGTAAATAAAGGCTTTTACAAGAATAAAAATGCACAATACAGTGATTGGAACAATACACAAATAACTCGCATATTGGGGAAAGAAACCTTTGGCATCGTTTTGGTCCGACTCGGTCCAAGTCGTCATCATAAGTTTCTTTCTCCTATGTGTGGGTTATTTGTGTAAAGAATTGTACATTATGCAGCTAAAGCATTGTTTCATCTCTTCAGCTTGTGGTTCACGCAGCTGCCGGCATTTGCTCTGACACAGCACCACAAGGCTCGCTTCCTACAGCTGGCCTTCAAGATCCTCACCAACATGCAGAAACTTCACCTCTCACAAGCTGATGAAGTGAGTAACTTTGTGCCGCACGAAATTGTGACAACACGGTCGCAAATAAATCACGGAACAGATGGGGTTTAAACCCAGGGCAAATTTTAGGACTCTCTTGCCATGGGCTCTAACCCCACAAATTCCACAATTTGAATAATTTTGATTTCACCTGCATGAACATACAAATTTTGTCTCCCCTTAAAATGCTGAGTTTGTTAAGAAACTCTCAGATGTTCATTTAGTATATTATGATGTATAAAAGGCAAACAAAAGGGTACAAAAGAGAGTGCAAAAATTATAGGGGGATAAGTCTGCTGAGTATACCTGGTAAAGTGTATGGTAGAGTTATTATTGAAAGATTTAAGAGTAAGACGGAGAATAGGATAACAGATGAACAAGGAGGCTTTAGGAAAGGTAGGGGGTGTGTGGACCAGGTGTTTACAGTGAAACATATAAGTGAACAGTATTTGGATAAGGCTAAAGAGGTTTTTGTGGCATTTATGGATTTAGAAAAGGCACATGACAGGGTGGATAGGGGGGCAATGTGGCAGATGTTGCAGGTGTATGGTATAGGAGGTAGGTTACTGAAAGCAGTGAAGAGTTTTTACAAGGATAGTGAGGCTCAAGTTAGAGTATGTAGGAAAGAGGGAGATTATTTCCCAGTAAAAGTAGGCCTTGGACAAGGATGTTTGATGTCACCGTGGTTGTTTAATATATTTATAGATGGGGTAGTAAGAGAAGTAAATGCGAGGGTCTTGGCAAGAGGCGTGGAGTTAAAAGATAAAGAATCACACATAAAGTGGGAGTTGTCACAGTTGCTCTTTGCTGATGACACTGTGCTCTTGGGAGATTCTGAAGAGAAGTTGCAGAGGTTGGTGGATGAATTTGGTAGTGTATGTAAATGAAGAAAATTAAAAGTGAATACAGGAAAGAGTAAGGTTATGAGGATAACAAAAAGATTAGGTGATGAAAGATTGGATATCAGATTGGAGGGAAGAGTAGGAGGAGGTGAATGTATTCAGATTATTTTTGGAGTGGATGTGTCAGCGGATGGGTCTATGAAAGATGAGGTGAATCATAGAATTGATGAGGGGAAAAGGGTGAGCGGTGCACTTAGGAGTCTGTGGAGACAAAGAACTTTGTCCTTGCAAGCAAAGAGGGGAATGTATGAGAGTATAGTTTTACCAACGCTCTTATATGGGTGTGAAGCATGGGTGATGAATGTTGCAGCGAGGAGAAGGCTGGAGGCAGTGGAGATGTCATGTCTGAGAGCAATGTGTAATGTGAATGTAATGCAGAGAATTCGTAGTTTGGAAGTTAGGAGGAGGTGCGCAATTGCCAAAACTGTTGTCCAGAGGGCTGAGGAAGGGTTGTTGAGGTGGTTCGGACACGTAGAGAGAATGGAGTGAAACAGAATGACTTCAAGAGTGTATCAGTCTGTAGTGGAAGGAAGGCGGGGTAGGGGTCGGCCTAGGAAAGGTTGGAGGGAGGGGGTAAAGGAGGTTTTGTGTGCGAGGGGCTTGGACTTCCAGCGGGCATGCGAGTGTGTGTTTGATAGGAGTGAATGGAGACAAATGATTTTTAATACTTGACGTGCTGTTGGAGTGTGAACAAAGTAACATTTATGAAGGGATTCAGGGAAACCGGCAGGCCGGACTTGAGTCCTGGAGATGGGAAGTACAGTGCCTGCACTCTGAAGGAGGGGTGTTAATGTTACAGTTTAAAAACTGTAGTGTAAAGCACCCTTCTGGCAAGACAGTGATGGAGTGAATGATGGTGAAAGTTTTTCTTTTTTCAGGCCACCCTGCCTTGGTGGGAATCAGCCAGTGTGCTAATAAAAAATAATATATAAAAAAAGGCAAGACTTGTATACTTGTCAGTAGCATATGTCAGACAATATCTACACATACTGTGTACTAGTATGTGCAAGTCTATTAGAGCAGATTAGAGATATGAGTCTCTTGGAGGTTTGATGTGCTGTTGGAGTGTGAGCAAGGTAACTTTTAGGAAGGGATTCAGTAAAATTAGCTGGAGAAGTTGGAAGTATAATACTTTCACTCTGAAGGATGAGTGGGGAAGGTGAGGTTTAAAGAACCATTGAAAGATGAGTGGGGAAGGTGTAGTTTAAAGAACCATTGCAGGATGAGTGGGGAAGGTGAGGTTTGAAGAACTATTGAAGGATGAGTGGGGAGAGTGTAGTTTAAAGAACCATTGAAGGGTGGGTGGGGAAGCAGCAGGTCAGAGGGCCATTTAAATTGTAATGCCCACTCACTTCTATCAGTATAACTGTTGAATGCATGGTGGTAAATATCTTCTATGGCTTGCTCTACCTTGTCAGGAAAATGTTAATAAAGAACGTGTATGGTCACAACATTAACCTTGGTAATACTTCTGCCATACTTTTCCAAAATCTTAATTGTGTGCATGAATGTCAGGATTACTCCAGAATTAAATCTTATTTGATATCTCTTGTTGCTATGAAACTGCAGATCATGATAAGAAAGAAAGGAGGAACACTGCAGGAGCCCTACTGGCCCATACTTGGTCTTTTGTTTTATAAACATTTAGATGCCAGTTAATTCTTTCCACATAATACATTAACTACAGAATATAGTATAGTAAGTACTAGTTCTGAATCTTCCCTATAATCTGTTATTGCCTTATTAATCTTAAGTTAATTTTAAATTTGCCCGAAATGTTCGGCATACAAGGGGCTTTTGGCATGTACACTTAACTATTATAGTTCATTGTACAACCATGTATCATGTCAAAATAGTTTTTTTTTTTTCAACAAGTCGGCAGTCTCCCACCGAGGCAGGGTGACCCAAAAAGAAAGAAAATCCCCAAAAAGAAAATACTTTCGTCATCATTCAACTCTTTCATCTCACTCACACATAATCACTGTTTTTGCAGAGGTGGCCAGAATACAACAGTTTAGAAGTATATACGTATAAAAATACACAATATATCCCTCCACACCCCCAATATCCCAAACCCCTCCTTTAGAGTGCAGGCATTGTACTTCCCATTTCCAGGACTTAAGTCTGGTTATATAAAATAACTGGTTTCCCAGAATCACTTCACTAAATATTACCCTGCTCACACTCCAACAGCTCGTCAGGTCCCAAATACCATTTGTCTCCATTCACTCCTATCTAACACGCTCACGCATGCTCGCTGAAAGTCCAAACCCCTCGCCCACAACACCTCCTTTACCCCCTCCCTCCAACCTTTTCGAGGACGACCCCTACCCCTGGAATGAAATAATATCGTAAACCGGGGGTCCATTGTATCTGTAAACATTCACTGCTTCCTAACTTCGTCTACCCAATTTGATATCCAATTTTTCTTTATCTTAATCATTTGATACTCTCATCACCTTACTCTTTTCTATGTTCACTTTCAACTTTCTACCTTTACACACGCTCCCAAATTCGTCCACTAACCTTTGCAATTTTTCTTTAGAATCTCCCATAAGCACAGTATCATCAGCAAAAAGTAACTGTGTCACTTCCCATTTTGTATTTAATTCCCCATAATTTAATCCCACCCCTCTCCCGAACACTTTAGCATTTACTTCTTTTACAACCCATCTATAAATATATTAAACAACCATGGTGACATTACACATCCCTGTCTAAGACCTACTTTTACCGGGAAGTAGTCTCCCTCTTCTACACACCCTAACCTGAGCCTCACTATCCTCATAAAAACTCTTTACAGCATTTAGTAACTTACCACCTATTCCATATACTTGCAACATCTGCCACATTGCTTCCCTATCCACTCTATCATATGCCTTTTCTAAATCCATAAATGCAATAAAAACTTCCCTACCTTTATCTAAATACTGCTCACATATATGCTTCAATGTAAACACTTGATCTACACATCCCCTACCCACTCTAAAACCTCCTTGCTCATCCGCAATTCTACATTCTGTCTTACCTCTAATTCTTTCAATAATAATCCTACCGTACACTTTTCCTGGTATACTCAGTAAACTTATTCCTCTATAATTTTTACAATCTCTTTTGTCCCCCTTCCCTTTATATAAAGGGACTATACATGCTCTCTGCCAGTCTCTAGGTACCTTCCCCTCTTTCATACATTTATTAAACAAAAATACCAACCACTCCAACACTATATCCCCCCCTGCTTTTAACATTTCTGTCATGATCCCGTCAGTTCCAGCTGCTTTACCTCCTTTCATTCTACGTAATGCCTCACGTACCTCCACCACACTCACATCCTGCTCTTCTTCACTCCTAAAAGATGGTATACCTCCCTGGCCAGTGCATAAAATTACCGCCTCCCTTTCTTCGTCGACATTTAAAAGTTCCTCAAAATATTCTCGCCATCTACCCAAAACCTCCATCTCCCCATCTACTAACTCCCCTACTCTGTTTTTAACTTACAAATCCATTCGTTCCCTAGGCTCTCTTAACTTGTTTAACTCCAAAAATTTTTCTTATTTTCATTAAAATTTCTTGACAGTACCTCTCCCACTCTATCATCCGCTCTCCTTTTGCACTCTCTCACCACTCTCTTCACCTTTCTTTTACTCTCCATATACTCTACTCTTCTTATAACACTTCTGCTTTGTAAATACCTCTCATAAGCTAACTTTTTCTCTTTTATCACAACTTTTACTTCATCATTCCACCAATCACTCCTCTTTCCTCCTGCACCCACCCTCCTATAACCATAAACTTCGGCCCCACATTCTAATACTGCATTTTTAAAACTATTCCAACCCTCTTAAACCCCTCCCCTCATTACTCATGCTTGCACCAGCCCACCTTTCTGCCAATAGTTGCTTATACATGTATTTCACCTGAATTTCCTCCTCACTTAGTTTATACACTTTCACCTCCCTCTTGTTGTTGCCATTTTCCTCTTATCCCATCTACCTCTTACTCTAACTGTAGCTACAACTAGATAATGATCTGATATATCAGTTGCCCCTCTATAAACATGTACATCCTGGAGCCTACCCATCAACCTTTTATCCACCAATACATAATCTAACAAACTACTTTCATTATGTGCTACATCATACCTTGTATATTTATTTATCCTTTTTTCATAAAATATGTATTACTTATTACCAAACCTCTTTCTACACATAGCTCAATTAACCCTTTCAGGTTCGCCAGGCCCTCTCAAAGACTTGTTCTCAGGGTAGCCCAAATTTAAAAAAAAAATAGTTTTTTCTTATGAAAAGATAGAGAATCTTTTCCCAGTCATAATGACACCAAAAGTATGAAATTTGATGGAAAACTTACGGAATTATGCTCTCGCAAAGTTAGCGGTCTCGACGGCGTTTACGCATCGGCGATTTTGCCCACTTTGAGCCCTATTTTCGGCCAATTCCAGTGTACTAGTCGACAAAAATCATAACTATTTCGCTAGAACTCCGTTTTTTCTATCGAATGAGTATAAGAAACCACCCATTTACCGATTTCAACTATCCATTACAGTGGTCAGAATTTAGCAATTTTGCCAATTTCACACAAATTTCAAAAGATCCCAAATTTCCCCAAAAAGGGTCCGAAAAACAAAAAAGCTTTTTCTGGACTAAAAAAACATTTCCCTTTTTCTTAGTCATTTCCCCACCCTCTTAATTTTTTTGCTTTCCATTTTGAATTTTTAAAAAAAAAATGAAGATTTACTGTTGGCTACTGCATTAGTGTTAAAGGGTTAAATAATTTCAGGCATTTGGGAAAGAATATTAACTCAATTGACGTATTTTGGACGCAAGCATGTTTTGTTTACTTTTGAATTTTGGGGTAAAAACAAAACATTTGCTCTTTGACTCAATTTCAAGGTACTTTCCATCGTAAAACCCAGTCAAAATCATCTCAATTTGAAAACATGTCTTCCATTCTTAAAATAAACCCGGGAAAAACTAAAATACGAAAATAAATCCCCAAAAATTAAAAAAAAAAAAAGGCAAAGTCGCTGTTTTAATCCAAAAACAGGGTCAAATTTTTTTTTTTTTCCATACGCACTGTGTGCGCAGGATTTTTTTTATACCGCGCACAGCCCAGTTTTTGGGGGCACTAAAATTTTAGGCGTCATACATCAAAAACCCTGGTGGTAACCGTCTAGTACGGCCGAAACCCCCGAAAAGGGGTTTAAGTTCCCATTTTCATTTACCCCGGGACCCCAAATTTACCTACTACTCCTCCAAAACATTTTACCCCTTTTTCATTAAAATCCCCAAACACAAGTACTCTCACACTTTTTTCAAAAATCCCACGCATTTATCAAAATTTCCCAAAATCTCTCTCTCTCCTCTATACCTTCTTCTTCCCCAGGGCCAAAAACGTTACTAAAACCACTTTCCCCCCCCCGAAAAAAATTTTAATTTTATTATAATTTTTATTAAATTATTTTTGAAAAAAAAACTGGTGCCGTGGGGTTAGAACAATGAACCCAACAAATTTTGGGGCCTGATTGAGCGCTTGTCCACCCTTCGTTTATTTATTGACGTTGTTTATTACAACTTAAACTGGTTGATATATCGCTTTAAATTTTACTTTTAATTCTTATTTGTTGCTATTCCCGCTGATTTCCTTTTTTAATTTTCAAATCCCCTTCTTGAATCAGTACTGCTGAAATCCCTGAAGCCATTTACAGATGTAACAGTTAAGGGAAAGTGAGAAAGAATCTAAAAAAATTGACCTCAGGGGCAAACCCACATACAAAAAAGTCCTTTACTTACAAAACACTTGAAATCTTCTGTTGTGTATAAAAAAAATGTAAGCGTACCTCTGGCAAAACAGTGATGGAGTGAATGATTATGAAAGTTTTTCTTTTTCAGGCTACCCTGAGTGTTTGTAAGTCAAGGGCTTACTGCACTAATAGACAAATAACCCACACATAAGAGAAAGAAACTTACAACAACTTTCAAATCGGACTGAAATATCATTGTGATTTTCTCTCCTGTGTGTGCGTTATTTGTGTATTCCAGTCATGGTATTGTACCTTTTTATTCTTTATACTATCTAATAGAGCTCTTAATTTCTCCTGTTACTTTGCAATGAATGTCAGTTGCTGTAAGCCTGACCTGCTGTGCTTATCAGGTAAGTTACCGTGTGATGATGCAGCTGTGCGGGCTCTACTCGCAGCCCATCCTGGCTGTCAAGGTGCTGTGCGAGATGCGGCAACATGGCATCACTCCCAATGCCATCACTTATGGTTATTACAACCGTGCTGTTATGGAAAACAAGTGGACTCACTCAAATCTATTTTGGAATAAACTCAGGTAAAACTTTTCCAGGGAGGAACAGGGCTTGTAGCCCCTTCTCCTGGGAGCAAGGGGGACTAGGAACCCCATCTCTCAGGAGCAAGGGCTAGTAACCCCTTCTCCTGGGAGCAAGGGGGACTAGGAACCCCATCTCTCAGGAGCAAGGGCTAGTAACCCCTTCTCCTGGGAGCATGGGGGCTAGGAACTTCTTCTCCTGGGAGAAAGAGGCTTGTAGCCCCTTCTTTCAGAGCAAGGGAGCTAGTAACCCCTTCTCCTGTATAAATTACTAAATGAAAAAGGAATGAAAGCTTTATGAAAGCACTTCTCCTCCTCCTCCAGGTCACCCCACTTTGGTGGGAGACGACCGCTGTGCTTCAAAAAAGACTTTCCAGATATAACATTATCTGTTATCTTATTCTTTTTGAAATATCAAATTATCAAAAGGGGCTTTGTTAATTTTATTTAGTTGCTTTGAAGTTAAGAGTAGGAACAAAAGATCAGCTACTCTTGGTTAGATTTTAGCCACCAGTAATGAAAAATCACTAGCTTTTGATCCCACTGTGTAACTGTCTTATATACCAGGGTCTATATAATAGTACTCATTTTTATTAAATGAATAAAACGTGTTACTTTATAACGGGGTTCCGCCTGGAGTGTAAAACCCCCCCAGGGCTTTCGGGGGGTGCTAGAGGGAATTTCAACAGGTGCTAAATGGCTATTTAGGGGGTGCTAGGTGCCATTTCAAGGGGTGCTAGATGGCATATTTCAGGTGGTGCTAGATGGCATTTCAGGGGGTGTGACAAAGAGTAATAATGAAAAGCACAATTCTGTTTATTTTACCAAAAACTTTTCTAATTGCTCAATTTATATTTGCATTTTATGCAAATGTGACATTACTTTTGTACGGGATGCAACATTAGTTAAACATTTGGTAGGGATGTGGTGCATAGAAAGGGTTATGAACTCCTGTTCTTGAAGATTGTTAGATAATAATTTTGATTTTGTACTAATGTTGGTAGAATTGCCGACAATATGTTACGGACACAAGTGCAACTAATGTGACATTTTATTGTGGCAATGTTTTGCTCTCCTCGAGCTTTGACAAATTTTTCGGGGCTTCCCAAAATAAAATGTCAAATTTTTGATGTTCCTTTTACCTAAAATTCTGTTTTGTTAGTGATTTACTTTTTCTTGGGGCCCCTGTTAACTTTTTTGAAAAGTATCCTGTCTGAGCCCATTCTCTGTATAAATTTCAAATTTAAAAAAAAAAAATTTGTTTTTCTTTTTTAGGTCATCCTGCCTTGGTGGGATATAGAGTTCACTGAAAAAAAAACCTTTGTCTGGGTTTGGCAATGGAGTCGGGGAGTAAAAAAAAATGCTTTTAAAGGACAGATGTTTAAAAGTAGTAATGCCACCTTAAATAGTGATGTTACCTCCTAGGAATGGGGTTTATTGGTGTGTCTGCATTTAAGCTTGGTTGGAACGTGCACAGAAAAAAAAAAAAATTTTTCCCTCCCCCTGGATGTGGTTGATAGTCCCCTAGCAGGGGGAAAACAATACAAGTAGGCAGTCTGTAAAAAAATTTTTCTTCACCTTCGTAGCTTCTGTAGATATGTCTCACTATAATTTTGTAACACAAGATTATCAACAAATAGTTAAAACAATGTTTTGTAAAGGTTTTTGGGTTTTAATGCACTTACATTTTTTTAATTTTTGGAAGTACGGCCGCATATGAAGGAGGGTGAGATATGTGCAGTTTTTGAACTTAGAAAAAGATGCCTCAGGCAAGACAGTGATGGAGTGAGTGATTTTTGAAAGTGTTTCTTCTTTTTTGGTACCTTTTTTTGGTGGGAAATGGCAGTGTGATAAAAAAAAAAAAAAAAGGGGGGTGAGGATTTTGCGTTTGGGAAAAATTTTGACTGTGTGTTTGTACACTTCTGCCAAAAATTTTTTCAATAAATGGGGGTGTATTTATTCTGGTTGGCAAGATTTGGCCCAGGAGGGGGGAAAACAATGCTGTCTTTAACCCTTTGTTTGTTTTGGTCAATTACATGTTTACAGCCAGTGGTTTCATGTATTTTTTTTTTTTTTTTTTTTTAAAAGTGGCCCGGCCCCACCGAGGCAGGGTGCCCCAAAAAAAGAAAAAAAATCCCTCCCAAAAAATACTTCTTCATCTTTTAAACCTTTCACCTTCACCCCCCCCATAACATGTTTTTGAGAGGTGCTGAAACAACAGTTTAGCGCTATACGTATAAAGATACAAAATATCCAAAAAACCCCTCCTTTTGGGAGTGAGGCATTGACTTCCCTTTTCCGGGATAAAAGTCGGCTATTTAAAATAACGGTTTTTCCCTGAATCCCTTCAAAAATTATTACCTGCTCAACCCAAAGATGTCAGTCCAAATACCCATTGTCTCCATTACTCTATCAAATACGCTATGCACCCCTGTGGAAGCCCAAACCCCCCGCCCAAAACCTCCCTTCCCTTCCCTTCCCCCCTTTTCGAGGATGACCCCTACCCCCCCTTTCCCTTCTCCACAGTTTTAAAATGCTTCCTTCTTTCTACTTTGCCCTTTCTCTCTAAATGCCCAAACCCCCTAAACAACCCCTCTTCACCCCTCTGCTAACATTTTATTAACCCCACACCTTCTCCAAATTTTCCCCACCTCCGAATTTTTGCTAATATTTACACCAACATTCCCCTTTAAAAGGGAAATTCTACTGCTCCAACCCCCTCCTCACTGCTGCATTCAAAACCCCAAGTTCACATCCTATAAGAGTTTTGGTACTACTTATTTTCTACATTCCCCTTCTTTGCTCCAAGAAAACTTTTTTTGATCCACATATCCTAACGCACCACTCCCTTTTTTCCTTCATCGTTCTATGTTAACCTCACCCTTATAAATCCTCGTGACACGTCAACCCCAAAGTATCTGAAAATTTCACTTTTCCAACTCCTCCCCCCAATTTGTATCCAATTTTTCTTTATCTAAATCATTTGTACCCTCATACCTTACTTTCTCTGTGTTCATTTCAACTTTCTACCTCAAAAATTTTAGTGGCTTTGAATCAAGCGGAAAAATTGGTGGCCCCCCACATGTGAGAGAAGGGGTTTGTGTTGTCAGGTGCAAGTATAAAATAACCCTGCAGACCACGTGCAAAATGAGAAAAAAAAATCGTGTGTTTTTTAAATTTAAAAATGCCGAATTTGAGGTGTATTTTCCTATAGTATTTAGGTTGTATTCTTGTTTTCTTGCCCTTTTTGATGAAGGAAAGCATTTATAGAAATAGAAGTGATTTTGATTGGTTTTATGCGAAAAGAACCGGGAAAAATGGAGCTAAATTAGCAGAAAAAGTTCGTTTTTTGCCGATGTTAAAGAGTAACAAGTGACATCATTTCCAATAAATGTAAAACTAGCCTTTAATATGCAGCACGAAGGGGGTTGAGTTATTTATCAATTATTACAATTTTGCAGTAGTTGCATAACAGTAAATCTTTTTTTTTTGTTTGAATAAAATTCAAATAGAAAGCAAGAGTATTAAAATAGGTGCCTGGAGAAAAGATGATGAAAAAGGAAATTTTAAAGTGCCGGATTTCTGCATTGTTCATTTGGCCCCTGTTTTGAAATTGACTATTTTTAATTTGATAAATTTTGGGCACTTTATTGGGTAGTTGAAAGGGTAAAGGGGGCAGTTTTTGTATCAATTGATAGAACAAATGGGTTTAAAAAAATATTTAGGGGTTGGTGGACTAGAAAAAGGGAAATTTAAACCCAAAAAAGGGCTCAAAGTGGGTGAATCGCGATGATAAATTTTGCTGAGGTTGAATTCCGGGGAGGTAATTTCCCGTAATTTTTCCCATCAAATTTTGTACTTTTGGTGTCATTTCACCGGAAAAAAGTTATCATTTCACAATTTTTTTTTTTTTTTTTTTTTTTTTTTTTTTTTTTTCGATATTCTGCAAACCCCAGGGACATTTCAGGTTTTGGGGTTGCAACAGTCAAAGGGTTAGAGGGGAGTTTGGGATTTTAATGTTTGCAGTGACATCTAAATGTCATATCTCGGCCTCCCCCAAGCAGGATTGTGTGTGATTGTGATGAAATGTTTCTTTTTTTTTTTTAGTCAGGCTGCCTCAGCGGGAGACCCCCCAGTTGTTGAAAAAAAAGAAAAAAAGTATTTCCTCTTCCTTTTTTTTTTTGTTTATTTTGGTTTTGGGGGTTCATTTTTTTTTAGGGCAGAAACGGGGAAAAAAATTGAAATAATGTTATCATGGGTGAAACATTGGCTTGTTTCTTTACCCCGGTTATCTATGCCCTTATCGTAATAATGGGTTTGGAGTTAGTCGATGGTGTGGGTCGATCCGGGCACAAAAACGCCCTAATTTCCCTAAAATGCTCTGAACAAGCGGCTTTCTATGTAGTAGTATGTCATTGATGCGTGGCCTTTATACCTTGTACTGATTGTAGAAATAAAGATATTTTATTATTATTATTTATTATTATTTATTTTTTTATTGTTGTTGTGTACAGTATAACAGTACACCCTTAGCTTTTATATTTAATTTTAAATTAATCCCTTTTGGAAGATGCAGACAGCTCCCCAAGAAAAGTCGTGGAGGTTTGGGACCCCCTTGGATTCCAGCCTCCTGCACCTCACAAAGACTGACAACTAAGCTCCCGGGGAGAAATATTTGGAGGAGGTGGTGTGGGGGTGTGTGTTTTATTTTTTTGTTTATTTATTTATTTACTTATTTATTTTTTCTCATGGGGAATGGGACAGAAAATTTTTCTCCGTAAGTATGTGTGTCATAAGAGGGGGGACTAAAATGCCAGTGCAGGGGCTAGTAACCCTTCTCCTGTATATTTTCTAAATTTAAAAGGAGAAACTTTCATTTTTCCTTTTGGGCCCCCCCCCTCAGTGGGGTTGGCGGTGCATTGAAAGAAAGATACTATTTATATAGTACGTAGGGGCCCCACTTTTAACCCCTTTGACTGTTTCCGAGATAAAAAGTTTAGAGCCAAAGTTTTGACGATTTATACGCACAAAAATTTTGCGGCTTCAAAAAAAGGCCAAAGGCCTGGTAGGCCTCACGAGAGAGAATGGTCTCAGTGGTCGGTGTGCACCCTGTGAAAAAATCTGGGGGCCCGCGGTGATTGCAGGAAGCCATTTGTTAGTCCATTTTCCCATGCCTCTCGGTAAAAAGTTTCCCCACTCCCCGGGGTTTGGGGTCTTTTGTTCCAAGTGATAGCTCTAACGCGATGAAAAGTCAGTGACGTGAATTCCCGGGGTTTTTAAGTGAGTGTTACCGGAAAAAAATGCCCAGGATAACGTAATTGTGATGAAAACCCAGATGCCCCCCAAAACCTTTCCCCCTCTGGTGCTGTGCCGGTTGTTTACGTTCACGTTTGCTGTACCGGCGAAAGAGGGGGAAAATATTTTGGGCATGTACAACACCCAGATGATAGCAGTTTAGGAAAGTGAGAGTGAAATTTCCCCGTGAAGCGGCGTTTGTACGCGTAGCAGGGTCTGGTAGTGTTTAATGTTGTTCCAAAGGGGGAAGGAAAATCTGGGAGCACATCCCTGGCCCTACACATGACTGATAGTGAAAAGCGATATTGTAACGATGGGGGATGAATGGTGACAGTGGGGAGGAGGCGTGGTGGTGATAGTGGGGTGGGGAGGCCATGTGGCCCATCAGGGGCCACGCTACTACCACGCTGTGACGCAGACAAACAACCAGCCTCACCCCACCCCCCACTCCCCCAACCTGCACCACCACAACGCACAACCAAACCTGCACAACCACAAACCCCGGACAATACAGACCCCACCAGCAGACCGCTTGGGAGGGGAGGATGGTCGAGTTTGTTCCCAGTCCCCCCGACTTTGATGAAACCAAAAATGGAATAAACCCTCTGTCACTTGAGAACAAGCCAGTGAACTGGATGCTTTGAGTTTTCTTCGATGAAACCCCCGATGGACATCTTGTCAGGGAAACAAAAACTACTGTGATTTCCCATGGCAATACAATTCTTCACAAAATCACGGACACGTGGGAAGGAGACAACTGTGGGAGGATGTACCTGTTTTTTGCCAAATAATGTTATGCCACATGTGTATAAGCACACTGTCCCACATATGGGCAAAAAAAACGCCTGATTTTTAACTCCAGGTTTTAGTGAAATTATAGGTGTCAAACGTTTCCGATACTGTTACGTATGTTACACTTTTCAGACAAAAACCGGCCTGACAGAAGCGACAGGTTTTGTAAGACAAGAAAGTGTTTAGTACCTGAAACAAAAATGCTGAAAGTATTTTTTCCCTTCAGGAGCTTGTTATTGATGAGTCCTTTTATTTTATTCAAAAGGGAAAATCTCATTCAGCAAATATACCAAGCAAGAGGAAAAAGCTTTGGGTTAAAACTATTTGTACGTGTGATTTAGAAGTGGTTGTTTGGAATCATTGTGTCACTGGGGTAATACTTTGAGAGATACCATGAAGTTTTTGGGTTCTTGGGGATGTGGTTCGAAAAAAGATGGAAACTATCTTGGTAAGGGGCTATGTTATTTCTGATAAATGGTACACAAGCCCCTTACTCAGTGATTTTTTTGTGAGTGAACTTGACGCGTGTGTGGCAAGTGCGTGGTAATGTAAAAAATGCCAAGGGTTTAACGCTGGCACTCGCAGGGTGAGGGGCAAACCTTTGCTGCCCAAAACATTGGCATTTCGGTGGCATGACAAAGGATGTCCAAATTTTTGACTCAGTTCACAGAAACGAAAAGGTACCCCGTGGGAGGGACAAAAGAGGACCAATGAACCATTTGAAGCCGCGCTGTTATGGAATACAACCTCAATATGGCTTATGGACAAATGTGCATGCAGATTTGGGTTTGCAGATGTGTACGCAAAAGTTAAAGTGGTATATAAAAATTTTTTTCCATCTTGTTGATATCTCATGTAAAAGCTTAAAAATTACAAGTTGAAGACCAAAAACACCAAAATATGGTGAATTTTGCCCGTCGTAAACAGACAAAAAAATTGAAAAATCAAGGGCAAAATCCCGCATAGACCCGGCCCACAGACGTCATCTGTTGAGGGCCGGTGTCACTCCCTTTAAAATGCCCCCTACTACTGCCCGAAAAATGCTCGAGAGGTGTTATGTATGTATGCTACCACCCCCAAAACCCCACAAAAAAGCAGAGAATCGTTTTTTTGGTGGGAGGTTTAAGGCCCTCTGCATTACCCCTGTTTCAAAAAGTCCACAAGCGCGCGTTCTAGGAACGTGTTTTTTGACTGTACATTCTTCTTTTTCTTTCAACAAAACCCGGGCCCTATCCACCAGGGGAGGGTGGCCCAAAAAAAAAAAACAAAGTTTCTCTTTTCAAATTTAGTAATTTACGGGAAGGGGTTACTAGCCCCCCTTGCTCCCGGATTTTGTTTCCTCTTAAACAGCAGGCTTACGAAGGAAGGAATTCTGTTTCCCCTTCCCCATGGATTGTAATATATTTTGGAACAAAGTAATAAAAATTTTTTTTGTATTTTTTGTTTGGTAAAAAAGGTGAATACCAAAATTTTAAGTGATAAAATTTGTTTGTTTTTTGTGTTTTTAACAAAGAGTGATATTTTAAAAATGCACCTTTCTGGGTTTACAGGCCCCATAAGTTTCCTGGAAACAGAAAAATATTTAAAAATGCAAAAACCTTTGAAAATTAGAGTAAAAAAAGAATACCCGGGTGGGGGCGGTCGCGCTGTTCCGTACGCCGTCACTTTCTGAACTTTGGGCTCTTAAACTCGGTAAGTTTCTGATGGAAAAAATTTTTTTTAGGGTTAAAAAACTACTAAAATATTTTCCCAAATTTTTCATAAGAAAAAAAAAATTTTTTTTTTTAATTTGGCGACATGAATGACGTTCAGAGAGGGCCCCGAAAAAGTAAAGGGGTTAAGGCAGGTTAGGGTTCCAGGCTACTTCCGTAAAATGGAACGCCTTTTTCTCCACTTTTTAATGCATATAAAACTAGACAGCAAGTTACATAAATTTAATTTAAAATGAATAGGCATTAAAAAAAAAAGTAAAAAAATCATATAGTCATCTTACTTGAAAATTGAAACACTTATGCAACATATGGAAATCTTTATTAAGGAAAATTTTTTTCCACATGGGCTTCATCAGTCCACCGTGGACGAGAAGACCTACTTAGATAGTGGATGGGTTTTTTGACCTGCCTCCTCCTGCTTCGCCTCACCCACTACGTATATAAGCCCAAATCTACGGCCCTATGCTGTACATTCTACAAATTGAGGATGAAAAACATCGACTCCAGGCGAGGGATGATTTCTCAATCCCCCTCTCCTTACACCTTTTGCTTTGTATTGGATGATGAAGCCCTGTGTGGCAAAAAGTTTCCTCAATAAAGATTCCTATGTTGCATGGTTCTCATCTTCAACTTGTCGGGGTTTTCAAAACCATTCATCACACTCATTCCTACCTTAAAATTTTTGTCTTAATTAGGGTGAAAAAAGTAGCATTTTTGTAAGAAATTAAAGTATGGGATGCTGTAAAGGTTTTTTGAGGGTAGTGGGCTGGTTGGGTTGTAGAAAAGAGGGGGAATACTTCCCCGGGAAAGTAGGGTTTTGACAGGGATGGTAATTACATGGTTGTTTAAAATTTTTTATGATGGGGTTGTAAATGAAGTAAATGCTAGGGTGTTCGGGAGAGGGGTGAGATTAAATTTTGGGGAACCAAATTCATAATGGGAATTGACACAGTTACTTTTTGCTGATGATACTGTGCTTATGGGAGATTGTAAAGGAAAATTGCAAAGGTTAGTGGATGAGTTTGCGGATGTGTGTAAAGGTAGAAAGTTGAAAGTGAACATAGAAAAGAGTAAGGTGATGAGGGTGTCAAATGATTTAGATAAAGAAAAATTGGATATCAAATTGGGGAGGAGGAGTATGGAAGAAGTGAGTGTTTTCAGATACTTGGGAGTTGACGTGTCAGCGGATGGATTTATGAAGGATGAGGTTAATCATAGAATTGATGAGGGAAAAAAGGTGAGTGGTGCATTGAGGTATATGTGGAGTCAAAAAACGTTATCTATGGAGGCAAAGAAGGGAATGTATGAAAGTATAGTAGTACCAACACTCTTATATGGGTGTGAAGCTTGGGTGGTAAATGCAGCAGCGAGGAGACGGTTGGAGGCAGTGGAGATGTCCTGTTTAAGGGCAATGTGTGGTGTAAATATTATGCAGAAAATTCGGAGTGTGGAAATTAGGAAAAGGTGTGGAGTTAATAAAAGTATTAGTCAGAGGGCAGAAGAGGGGTTGTTCAGGTGGTTTGGTCATTTAGAGAGAATGGATCAAAGTAGAATGACATGGAAAGCATATAAATCTATAGGGGAAGGAATGCGGGGTAGGGGTCGTCCTCAAAAGGGTTGGAGAGAGGGGGTAAAGGAGGTTTTGTGGGCAAGGGGCTTGAACTTCCAGCAAGCGTGCGTGAGCGTGTTAGATAGGAGTGAATGGAGACGAATGGTACTTGGGACCTGACAATCTGTTGGAGTGTGAGCAGGGTAATATTTAGTGAAGGGATTTCAGGGAAACCGGTTATTTTCATATAGTCA